TAGTTGGAAGTTGCTATCATTTTAGTTATTACTTCGCATGCATTGAAACCTCTGTGGTTATGTTATAGTATCGTCTCTCGTGGTATTTGCTCTTAACATTGTTTAGTTTTTTTTTTGTGATTTATTAAAATGGGAAGAAAGTTAACCAATCAAATCAAATCGTAAACAAAAAATACCGATATCCGAAATCAAAATCGAAATCGAAAAAAGTGAATACTGGTATTCAAAACCGAAATTGAAAGCGGAAAAAATAAATACCGATATCCGAAACCGAAATCAAAATCGAAAAAAGTAAATATCAATATCAAAAACCTAAATTGAAATCGAAAAAAATAAATATCGATATCAAAAACCGAAATCGAAATCGGAAAAAATAAAATCCGGTATCTGAAACCGAAATCGAAATCGAAAAAAAAAATTTCGGTTTCAAGCCCTGAATTGAAAGGTAAAAAAAATTAGTGTTATTGAACAAGTAAATTCTGGATTGCATAAAGAAATAGAAACTAACAGGCTAAAATTAAAACCTATTATATCAACTATTTTGTTTTGTGGAACTCACGACCTTCCCTTACGAGGGAAAAAATCAGATTCTGGTGTTTTTCACGATCTTTTGAATTTTCGTATTGAATCTGGCGATGAGATATTGAAAGATCATTTTTTAACTAACGTGGGAAATGCTAAATATTCGTCCCATAGAACTCTAAATGAATTAATCACATTATGTGGAAAGATATTAAAAGAAGAAATAGTGTGCGAAGCTAATGTCGCGAATGCGTTTTCCATTATTTCTGACGAATCGGCAGATATTTCTGGTGTTGAGCAGCTAACAATTGTAATTAGATTTTTAGACAAGCAGTCAAGTCCTATAAAGATTCGAGAAGAATTCCTTGGCTTTTTACCATTAGATAAATTAGACGCAGAATCAGTTGCTACTAAAATTTTATCATTTATGGAAGACAGTGGCCTTTGTTCGAGATATATTATGATATTTTTTCCCTTGCGATAAGCTCGGCGACTTTATCGTCGCCCTCCTCCCCTCTTGCCTAATGTGGCATCGGCGTTCCCTGACCACTGCTGTCCGTCAATACGACCGTACACTCACTCTCTCGTGCGACCGTCTCCGGGACGTCGCTCGCTTTTGTTCTTACGCGTGTGCGTGGCTAATATAAGGCCATTTTGTGTGCCCGTAGCACTTGTGCCTTTTGGTTTTTGTGCTGGCCTTGTGTGCCGTGTTGTGCCGTCGTCACATTTGCCGCGTGTTGAAGCGACTCCGCATCTTGTACGTGTCGAAATTAATATTATATACACATATATATCATTTATATATATTATATACACGTGGACCCTGAGGTTACGAGCCGACGTCATAATTGTTATTAACAATATCAGTGTTCCAGCACACTTATTCCAACGATCATACTGCCTTGGACCAGGTCAGCGACATATTATTATTATATTTTATTATTATTATTATTTGTATTGGAAGAATTGGTTGTTATTATTACTATTATTATTATTTCCTTTTTTTTTTATATTATTTGGGCGCTCTTAATTTATTATTAGTATTATTATATTATGTAATACGTTACACCTCTGTGAAGTATAAAATATATATATTGTAGCACGACGGTGCGTCAACCTAAATTGTGTGTAATTCTTAAAAGTTGTCTAATTGCCCTCTCTTAATACGTAAGGTAAAACAAAATACTCTGGGTGTTATTATATTTGCCATCCTAAGCCAACCGCCCAAGCAGGAGCCTGGTGGAACAATGATAAATAAATTAATTCCAATAAAAAAATAAAAATAAATTACAGTCAGCTAATTGTTTATCATAAGAATTATACAAGAATTCAATTTAAACGTTACGTTAAAAATATCATTTATATAAATATATGTTTTTTCATTGTTGAAGAAGGAGTTAAGTAGTGTATTACAAAATTAAATACAATTAAATGCTTCTAATAAACTTTTTTGTAAAATTGGTAAAGTCTTTTGACATTCTCAGACTCCAGTCAATAGAATAAAAAAGTATGATATTTTTGCTATATAATTAACCGATTAACTTAGTTTTCTTTCTTCTCTTTTTTTTAAACCATTAGTTATCGGTTATTGAAATAATACCAACTAAGTATATTATACTATTATTCAGATATTAAAAAAAGAGAAGAAATATGATAATTAGTGCCATTTAATAATATTTATTGATATTATATAAATTAAATAAACTGACTCTGATTAAAAAATATCCTCGAAACAATAATACTGCTGAGCTGGGAAACGATCCATATTCTGGAACATTAAATTTATTTTCGTCTTCTGATAATTCATGATCTGCTTGCTGTATATCTTGGTCAGAAATACTCGTTATATGCTTCATTATATCTAATTTCAATGTCTTTAATAGTATATACCACACATGTACATGTTTGTTTTGATTGTCATATTGATTTTCAGAATTTAAATGATTTTTTATTGAATCGATATATTTCAAACCTGAAAACACAAGTCTTGTGTTTAATAATATTAAATTTATATTAAAAAAAAAAAAATATATATATATGGTTATATGATAATAAATCAAATTCTAACACAAATACATAAAATATCTGAAGCGAACAATTTACTAATCGATAGGAGATTCAACGAATTAAAAAAATAATATACTAATAAAAAGTTGTAGTTTAATAAGGTAACTCAAATCACGAATTCAAAACATAATATTTACCATCGTTGATCACCTCAAATGCGAATTCATATTTCTGATAAAAATAATATATACTCGCTGCATTATAGTACGATTGAATAAATACCATATAATCTTCATAAGATGATGGTTGTTTTGTCTAAAAGAATTTTTTTTTTTTTATATAGTATGAGTACCTCGATATATTTTATTTGAACATAACGTAAAGCACATTTTTAAATACATTTTATCAATATCTATCAATAATATAATTTATTAATGATAAATATGCAATATTTCATTAGATTTGTTAATGTCAATTAGTGTTATTTTTATTTATTATATAAATGTTTGGTGTTACTAAATCCCAATTATGATATAAAATATAAAATATCGCTGCATACTTTCACAATCAAAGTAAATAAGGTGTTGGAGAAAATAACAGTATTAATTAGAACACTTTTTATCAGTACTCAAAATAGCTAAATACATTTTGATTGTACATTTTTAGATTTTGCGACAATGAATACATTGTTACGTTTTATTAATTAAATCACATTACATGTTATGGACGTACAACACTAATTCTTGCACAGACAGCGAGATACGGAAGGGGCTCGTTCAGCCCCAAAACTGTCCACACAGCGAATTCTTTTAAACCGTGGACTGTATCACTCTGCCCGTTCACAAAAATAAGATGCTTACTTACTAACTCGCATCCACTGAATATAAATTTATACACGGGTACATAACACCTTCCAGACTACATAAAACATGGTCATCCAATGATCACCGCGTTTAATCTAATCTGTGGTTTTTTGATCGTCTGCCAGACTAATAAATAATGCATATGAATGAGTGGATGTCACACGTTCTACTACTTACTGAGGTTCTGCTAATTCAGGTCTGTAAGCTCGGGGTAAATTAAATTTATATCTAATTAACATGCTTAATGCTTATACTTACAACTACCATTACCATCATATAAATTACGATGAAATTATGATCTGGGTGTAAAAAAAATTTAGTATCATTGTATATTTTAGACAATTTCTTTAATTTTTCGGTTTCCTGAACTAACTAGAAGAGTAGGATCATACTAGGTTTTTGTGTACATGTCACTGTTACTGCCTGTGAGTTTCAATAATACAGCCATGCATTTTGCAGATAAGGTTTATGCCATACGGCAGTGTTTAGAATCAGATATTTAAAGTTACACGTTTCTACCGTTTGATCAGTGGAATTGTACAACGATACCTCACAATTTTCCTGGTGAGTGGTCTTACTAATAGCTTCCGGATTTAGACATAATTTAAATGAGAACAAGATTTCACATTTTTCATACGAGTTTCTGTTACCGTCTAAAATGATATTCGTTGATGTCGCGTATTGCTAAGTATTAAGCCTGTGGTTCAATGAAACTACGTTACCTTTATCTACAGGTATCAGAAGTGGAATATTATAAAATAATTATATCGAAGGCATGACTCATATACCCTAAGATCTGCTGAATATACACTACGCTTAACTTAGAGGTTCCGAATAGTTCAGGGATAAACGAGAGTCAGTTGTAAGGAGCTCCACTATGGATGGTAAAATCAGTTGTATTTCTTTAAGTTCGTAAATTAATTCCAATGAAGAAAATAGATTTGTATGTATTACTCCATTTAATGCTGAATTTTCAATAGATTGGAGGATTTAAGTATACCAGACGAATTGGGTCAGAAAAACTGTTAATCTTGTAGTTTGCTCCAGGAATTATTAAACCACGAAGTCGCCGGTTTGGGATATCAATAGTTCTATGACTCAATCCCAGGATTCATAAATAGAATCAGTTGTGTATTATGGGTGGGGGGCGAGGGGGCCCAGGCCCCTCCCCAAATGAAAAAAAGTAATTATTAAAAATTGTTATTTTTGACATGGAATATGTCTTATGGTTGGGGAATGGGGATAATTCCAAAAATTTGACACGACACCGATATCATGAAGTCATGAATGAAACTGTCGCTTATGCGATAATTTAAAATAAAAGTATAGTGTGTTGAATGCGTTAGTATTTTGTCAATTATTAATGATTATGTAACACAATTTATTATTTAAGTTATATAAATAAAACAAATATTGGTTGTTAGTTGTTTACGATTTCGGCAGACGAAAACTATTAGTATATGTAATTTTAGCTCATGACTTCTAGAATTAAATTAATAACTGAAGTGGTGAGATAGTAATAATATAGGTAGTCAGTGGCATAGGTTAGGTATTAACTATTAATTATATGCATTGTATTAGTATTGATTGTATTCTAGTTTAATTTTGAGTGTCTCTAATAAAATATTGTTTATAAAAATGTAGTTATTACTTTTTTTTATGTTAAAATTCATTAAAAAAATGATTGATTTTCTTATTACTCTGATGGTCTAAAGAGAGTTGAAAAATCTTGTAGTATTCAAGCAATTTTTGTCCAAATAGTGTGTCTCCATCCTCCTTTCCCCAAAGAAATCCAAATATATAATCGGCCCCCTCCGAAATAAAAACCTATATACGCCACTGAAGGGAATTAAAATTGGATACCATCTTATGCAAGAATGGAAACGTGTATTATATAAAATCTGTACAAACGCTTGTTAATACAGAATTTTATTTTTTCTTTAACTGAACACAGATTTTGCTCGTCTGACTAAAGAAATTCTGAATTAGCTGATATTTCATATAGTATGTAACGATAACATAAATGACAAAATCCCAAGTCGCAAAAAGATACAAAGTGGATCCATTTATTCAAAGTTTTATTAACCGACTGAATTGTTAAATGAGTTGACTTGAGAATTTCCTTCTGAGCATCTGACCTTTCCAGACCGCATAATCACTGCGATTCTTAGACAAAACTTAGTTTTCAATTATTAAATTTCCTCAAGAGGTTTTTAAGCAATCGATCACATTTATTTTTTTTAATATAGTCGCATTTGGAGATTCTGCAGTTGTCTCTACTACTACTAAAGGTCTTTATCATTTAGGTACCAGATTGCCTTTATTTGCTTTTTCTTTTACTATGACTCTATTACCTTCTTGATTTCTTGAGGCAAAGTTGTTTAATTATAACAATCTTGCGATTTCATTTTGAATTTTATCTGTTGTCCAGTTAAAATATGATGAATTTCTTGCATAAGTCGTTTCAATTGTTACGTACCGTGTTATTTTACACATATATATTATACGGAGAGGTGATGTGTATACCGATGGGATAATATATTCAAACAGTGTAGCACCAACGGATAGGGCGAACACCTGCACATCGTGATATTTAATATAATGAATAAGACATGATCACACGTCCTGGACTTCTCAGAAATGATGAGTAAACGATAGTGTTAACATTGTACTATTTAATATGACAATCAAGACTTGATCACACGTCTTGTAATTCTTAGAACCGATGAAATCGCAGGAAAGGCACCCAACTGAATAATAGAGAGCTCCTTTAGGTCATCGGAAGTCACCACCTCCTCAGTCACCACTCTTGACGGTTAACCATATATAAGGGAGACCAGGGCAAGGTTAGGGATATTCGAGACGCTCAGAGGCAGGTCGTAACACCACTCACAGTCTCGTCTATCAGTATTTCAGAGGCAGGTCGTAACACCACTCACACCATCTTGTGCTTATAAAATTGTATTCTTGTACGAGTTAATTGTATTAAATAAAGACTTAATCTTTTAACTTGCAAACATTAGTATTTCTATTTCTACGTTGATATATGAATCGACGTTGACATAAGGGACGCAACACAATTTATATTGATATTCCTGGTAGTTGTACTGGGGTTCTGAATTACGACTTAGCGAATTATACAACTACCATTACCATTATCATAATATAAATCACGATGAAATTATGATCTGGGATTAAAAAAATTTTAGTAACAGAATTGTACATTTTTATACAATTTGTTTAATTTTCGGTTTTCTAAATTAACTGATTAACTATAATATTTTTAATTAATTAGTCGAAATACGGTTGAAAATTATTTCGGTACTTTAAAAATTATCAAACTTAGATTTTCTGGAATAAAATTTCAACAGCAATACGTAACCGAACGAAGTACACCGATATGCAG